ATTATCTGTTAGTTTTTGAACTCTAGAGATAGATTTAGAGCTGACATCTATTTTGGTATCAGAGCTTTATGCCTGTGTGTGGTTGTGATGTGTTGAGAGATCGTCGGTGTGATTACATAAGTTGTCTTCTATGTTGTTGAGGAGGTAGAGAGATCATTTCCTTGGTGATACAGACAGTCTCTCAATTTGAGTTAGAAATGACTTAAGTTGTGAGTGATACGTGGTGACATTGATGAGTATTGTTAGGTTACGTATAATTGGTCGATAGATTTAAGTCTATGATGAGTTGATTATATACAGGCTTGATAAGTTCTTCCTTAGTTTTTTATTTTGTTTACATTTATTTTCTGTTGAAACATTTTCTTTACAAACCAATTCAAACCAAACTCATAAACGCGAGAATTTGTCGAACAACAATTCAATAATCAATCTCTGTGGATACGATAAATTTCTGGATAAATATTTCTAAAACTTTTGTTGCTTGCCGCTACACCGCTTCCAACAATTACCTGGAGCCTCTTGTACCAGATATGGATGTGACACCTTGAAGAACCATAACATATATCCATCCTCATAACTCCAATATTTTGGTGCTATGGTACTCCAGGCCTCATCCGACACGAGATGGTTAAGATGATCATCAAACATGTCATCCATATCCATCTGTTTCACCATGGGAGGGGCACACTCAGAGAGTGGTCTAGGAATATGTTGCATGTATCTGAATTGTTGCGTCACACACTCAAATAAATAATCATCCGTCTTGCATGACCCACATGCGAACCACTCAGTGAACAACACAATGTCGTCAAAGGGAACCGTCTCGCGATGAGCCTCGTATGCATGAAAGCATATATCCTTATAGGCCAGGCGGTCTATATACACCCTGAATGACTCTTTCGTCTGGTTCCATCAGAGTCAGTCGAATGAAGCGGCATGTCGCTGGACCTCAGTATATGTAGGCTCAAGTGACCATCCAGATATGTGACGGAAGTGTTGTAGAACCCAAACCTGAAATGTTACAACCATTAGTAAGTAAATACATCAAAGTAATTTACATAACAAGGAAAAGATAACACAAGAATAAGAAATGTTACCGTAAAAAATGTTATGTTGCCAATCATCTGCTTTGTATTCCACTTAATGCCTTCGGACAAATTCTGGTACAAATACACCAAACAAGCTACCCTCCAATTCCACTCAGTGATTCACTAAAAATCGTTAAAGAATCACATGTGCATGATATCGGTGTAAGTGGCACTAGTGTCCACAAAAATATGTGTATCAATCAGATGCAAAAGATATACCCTCATAGCACGTTCTTTGTGTTGGGCTACTTGCTGATCGTCACCATCAGTCTGTTGTGCACGCCCTAGCTCAGTTGTGAACACATTTTACAAGTAGCTAAATCTGACATGACACCTATGGATTTTGTTGATCTCATCCATAACACCCTCTAGAGTAACTTTTAAGTACTCCACCAACATATTCATCGCCTCTTCTTTGGTGCACCTCTCATGATCTAAAAACCCCCCTCTAATTGGAAGGTGCAACAGACACGTAACATATTCCAATGTGATTGTCATCTCACCATATGGTAGGTGGAACGATGATGTCTCGTGATGGCATCTCTCAACAAAAGCGTTAATCATACCATGATTAACGGTAGTATATCCATATAAGACCAAATCACACAGCCTAGTGATGTACAACAGCTCTTGGAACCATGGTTCAGCGGGTGGTACCAGGCGACTGATCTTCCTATCATGGTTAATTATCTTGAGTGGATCGCGGTCATGCATGCATAGATAAACACACAAGACTTAAATGAACATAATATTTAGCAAAACAAATAAACACGGTATGTAACAATTGTTAAATGAAATATTTACCTCCCCGTCCCATAAGCATCTGACAACATGGTCCAAATACAACGTCAGTAATGACAAATCAGAAGGTCCTCCTCCAAAATCTTGAGGTGCCTTTGGTGTCGCCTCTGGTGCCGCCTCTGATGCAGGTTGTGGATGGGCCGCCATTGCAGACTGGATGACCTCTGGTGTCTGTTGGGGTGGGAATCGATGTAGGCTGGATGGGAGCAGGTATCAGCTGGGTGGTCTCTGGTGTTTGCTGGGTAGGAACCAGTGTAGGCTGGGTAGGAGCAAGTGTCAGTTGGGAAGAAAAAGTCTCTCCTGTCTCAAAGACCATATGGCGTTTGTGGGAGGAAGGAGGTGGAGAGGTATGGATTGAATATGGTGTAGTATGTGGGTGAGAACTAGATGTTTCTCTTGGTCTGGATACCTACAGTGAGGACGTACGTCTGCGGGAGGATGGAGACGGAGATGGATGAACAGGAGACTCCCTCCTGCTGGTCGACAAAGTGGAAGTAGAAACACCATCAACAATGGACGCATCCAGTACAGCCTGTCTATGAGCCTGAAAAGCATGAATCTTTTTCCTACGCATGGAAGCATGCTGTGAAAGTCTCTTGTGTCGCAATCTAGATGGTCTCTCAGCCATAATACCTGTAGAATAAACGAAACAAGTATTAAACAATAACACCCTTGTACAAAAAAATAGGGGGAAATTGTCTTCTGCATAATTAGAAGTATACTTCTGATTTTAGTCAAGAAAAAAAACTGAAATACACTTCGGTACGACCTACAACTTAACAAGTTCGTCAATGGCGAAGCTGACCTCCAATGGGGATAAAAAAAACAGTCATTGGTCGTTAAAAAGACATGGCTAATACTTCCGTATTGACTTCAAACATTGCAAGAATTAAAAAAACTACATTTTACTACCCTAAAACACAACTTATATGTAAAAAAAACTAAATAATGCTCAAAAACAACTTACAATTGATTACTCTCCTTGATTGATTCCGATTATGTCTGATGATTTCCTTATGTGTTGCGATAAATTGATGGATTTTGAAACAATGAGTATTTTGGAACAATGAGATTTGGGGAGATTTTGTCTTTTGTATTTGTGTTTGCAGCAAATGAGGAAAGGGAAGAGGTAGCGCGGATATATGTCAAAATATAAACTGAAAATACATTTACGATTTGAAACCGGTATTATATTTTCGATTCGTATCAACGTGGTAGGGTGTGAGAATCATAAATACATTTTTTATTTATATATTTTTTTCATATAATTGAGTGTACATCAAAAATATATTTTTAATTCTTGAAAGTATTATTTAAAAATTTACGCTCGTGCCTAAGAAATATTTAAAGTACATTAAGAAACTCTCGTAAATATATTATTGGTTCAAGAAAGTGAAAGGGACCTCAATATGTACTCGATGTTCAATCAATATATCAGAACTGGACCCTGTACCTGTAGATTCTATGGTGGATTTCTGAGGTGAGAAGTTTTATGGAACTGACATTATTAATAGATGCATTAATAGGAATAACGTTCTTTATTGTCAAAAAAAAGAAGACGAATCATGTTCTACAATTTGTTTGAGTACATCTTTGGTACTCCTGTCCATAGTGGATTTTTCAAAAGAATCATTAACTAATATCTTAATGCTTATTTTAAGATATCCATAAATGATAGTACTCCAATATATTTTGAAAACAAAACAATTTCTAACTTAAAAAAAATTGAATACACAATTTTTAATAAAAAAGATTCTATTTTAGTATACTTACGGGATCCCTCAAGACACATATTAACATTCCCCTTTTCAAAATTACTAAATTAAGAAATTAACAATATTATAAAATATTATATCATTCAACTGGCCTTTTCAAAAAAAGAAAAGTTCCTACATGCATCTCAGGTTAATTACGCGTGTGTTTGGACTGACTTTTTCCTCCGCCACCTCACATTTATCCTGAAAAAGAGAAGCTACAAAAGGGAGTTTCTAGTTAGGAATAGCAACCAGGCAGATCAGGAATAGATTTTATCTCTTCCAAATCTAAACTCGGATCCCCGATCAATCTCTATTTTCTGCTCTAAACTCAAACGGAAATAAAAAATTAAAATCTAAATCCGTCTTAAACGGATTCAAGTTGAGTTCGAGTTTTACTGTCCACCACCATCCATTTACTAAAATCAATTTTTTTAATAGAAATATTTATTTTTTCTAAAATTAAATTAAATTATAAATAATAAAATAAAATAATCTCAAAATTATATATATATTTCAATTATTTTAAATAATAAATATAAATCAAATTATCAAAACATTTGCCACATATTTAATATTATAATTTATCAAAAATAAATAATAATTTATATAATAAAATAAACGAAACAAATTCAAGAACGGATTCAAAATAGATACTACTGTTTCTATTACCTGATCCGTCCCCATATTTTATAATCGGGGATAACCCAAACTCAAACTCAAATCCGGTTAAAATAGATTTTCTCCGTCAATTTTGGAATGGACACATGTGGATATCCACGAGTATAGATTTTATTGTCATGTCTATTTCCATTGATTACCACCGTGATTCCAAACACATGGTAAGAAAATATATTAATTTCTAATAAATTAATAGTTCTTGTACGAACTATAGAAGGAAACAGTGTTGATTCCAAAGATGAAGATGCCCAGACCAATGTGGCCAAGAAAGAGACTATAGCATGCCATATTTTACACTTTCTGCTTTTCTTCAAAACTTTGGTAAAAAAATCTTTGGAGATCGATTTTTTACTTTTTTATATACTGTGGTGGAATACTTTTAGTGGCGCCTTAAAATTAGATCTGAAAAATAATATCTAGATAGATGTTTTAACTTTTCAACTGGTACACCATAAATATTACACAATAAAGTCCATTGAGATGCTGTTTGGAACTGCGGCCAGAATGCTGCTGCCACCGCACGATAGTATTGAAGCTACCAATTGGAGCCTTGCATTGGACGTGGGATTAGTAACTTGCAAACATTAGAGCCTTGAATTGGACACACGTTTCGTGACTTGCAAACGCCAAAGCAAAAACATGCTGAGTGGGTTAGAGCCATACTTGTAGCAACTCATTATGCCGTCTTGAGACAGTTATCACAAGGGCTAGAGCCATGCTTGCAGGTCTTTCTATCAAAAGATTCTCCGAAGTGTTTAAGTAGGGTCTGTCTCCGGCATTCATCCTAAACATTCAAACCAGATCAAATTAAATCTATCTCTGTACTGGGGTGATATTGATACACTTTCAAAAATATGGGTGAAAATTTTATGTAAGAGAGACAGAGAGAGGATTGGGGGGGAAAACAGATGTTGAAGTCTAAGGGAGCTTGCTTACCTTTAATTCACAGTACTGTTGCATCATTTTGGCTTGAGCCATTGCTGTCTTAAAACCCTCCTTTTTATATCCTTGGCCGTTTCTTATCATGCATACAACTCTACTAAAATCTTTCTTCTGGTATAGAGCAATGCAAACTGCAGGAAGATTATCTCTTCCAGCCCTTCCAGATTCCTGATAATAGCTTTCAATTGATTTTGACATTGTATTGTGGATGACAAATCGCTGAAACATGTGACAAGAAAAGAATAATTTGAGTAACAAAGAACTTTAAAACTTATAATCATATCACTAAGAATTTGCAGAGCATTCAAACACCTTGCATGTAGTGCCAAGCATTCAAATGCTGAACTAATGGGCATATGCAATATTAATATACTTAATTTCATTAGGCAGATTCGACTATAATGCTTATATTATATATTATATAGATTTTGGATTAATACTTTCAACCAGGGCTTAAGCAGGATAGGCAAGATCTCTAGGAATCTGAATAATTGTACAAAATTGCAAATGATCATTCATACCTCAAATTTAGCCATGTCATGATGTCAATCATGCATAGAAATAAGGCTTGGAGACGACTTCCTAATTCCTATGCTAGAATTCATACTGAATTAATTGATATGCAACAGATCACAAATAGACCGTTCAATTTGCTTAATAATTATCAAGCTACGGAATTATTAATAAGGGCCTAATTTCTTTTATAAAGTGAGGAATTCCTGAAAAAGTCAATCACAAAATTGTGAATAACACCACCATCATAGTTATGAAGAAAAGCATTTCAACTTACAACATCAGGTTTGTCTATCCCCATTCCAAAAGCAATAGTTGCACATACGATATGGACCTCTCCGTCATGCCATTTTTTTTGAACTGTGACTCTCTGTTTGACAGCTAAACCAGCATGGTAATATGCTGCCTTAATTTTACATTTCTCATTCAAAAATTTTGATACCTCGACACATTCACTCTTTGACAGGCAGTATACAATGCCGCACTGACTCTTGAAACGGTCCATTAGAAGTTTTCCAAGCTGCTTCAGTGGTTCCTTTGTCTTACCAACCACTTCATACTTCAAATTCGGTCTGTCAAAGCTTCTTTCTAGAACAATTGCATGTGGGATTCTTAAAGCATTTAAGATGTCCTGAAACAAGTCCAATTTAAGGCAAAGGAAAAAAAGGGAGGGGGCAATACTTAATATAGCTTTTGCATATATAAAAGCAATTTACTATTCTATTTACCTTGCGAACTGGGTGAGTTGCGGTGGCAGTCAATGCCATGACAGGTACACGTGGAAAGTTTAGCTTAAGAGATCCTAATCCACGATAATCAGGCCGGAAATCATGTCCCCACTGGCTGAAAAATATAATCTTTAATTTAAAAGTCGTGAATATATTACTAATTGATAATATAAATCACATAGCTTTAACAATCCCCATCACCCAACTGTTGAGGCATGCCTTTACTACTCTGGCGGTTTAACATTTGTTTGCACACCTTTGTAGTAGCGGTATAATATTTTGAATAAAACATCAATTTAGTTCCTAAACTATCATTCTCTACAGAATTTAATCCCTAAACTATGTAAATATAATAAACACGGTTCTTAAACTATATAATATCCATCAATTCAGTCCCTGAAGCATATGAAAATCCGTCGGTTTAGTGCCTAACATCTTAATAGCAGGGACTAAATTGACGGAATTCAAATAATTTAAGAATTATTTATTATATTTATATATAGTTTAAGAACTAAATTTGAGAATATGATAGTTTAAGGACTAAATTGATGGTTTGTTTGTAGTATTTTCGTCAATCCAAATCACAGTTCTTGTAATGAAAGTTGGGGAAACTTCCAAAATAAGAAAATATTTCATATGCAGGTCACAATTCAATATCTCAAAGTCAAGAAATGTATCAAGTATCAACCACTACCAGTACAAAGACAAGACATAATAGAGACTTCTGGCTTATGTAATAACATACCAACTTCAAAGAGGTCATGTGTCAGAAGTCAAAATACAAAATCAAGAAACGAATCCTCACTGTAACCCATTTGAGCCATCCTTTCAGATGTAGTCCTTTATCTTTTTTTTTTAACCATTCAGTTAAAAAAAGTTATGTAACTTAGGTAGCTTCTTGATGACCTTCGACCAAATGTAACAAGGTCATCATACCTTTGATTTTAAGATATCACTATATCGAGAGTTTGTTACCATAATTAATTTGTCTGTTTTCACTTATCTGTCTCCTTGAATAATGGCCAATTGGCCCCCACGAGATCTCAATCCAAAATGATATTTTATGCGGCATGTCATTAGTAATTAAAATTTTGGAGTTTGTTCATCTTGTGTGAAAAGTAGAACAGATATGTTAGAAGCAAATGGGAAGAGCTACTTCAAGAAGGTTTGAGAACAATGCATACCTAACACAGTGTGCCTCATCAACAACAAAACCTGCCAGCTGTCCCTGTGAGTTAAGAGGGAACACAACCAAATACGCACATGAGATCTTTATTGCCTAGTGCTTCATGACACTGTTTCATGAAATTTACTCCAATAATAAAACTTTACCTTCTGATTCATGCATTTTAGAATCCCAAGAAATGTTTGGTTTCCCGCAATTCTCTCAGGTGTCACATACAAGAGCTTGCACGTAGGCTTGTCTTTTCTGTGTATAAGAAAACTAATGTGAGAAAATATCAAACACTAAAGCAACCAGTAACTAAAAGGTTTTTTTTTTAATAATACTAATATGCTATCTCACCTTAGCTCTTGGAGGACAGCTGCGGCTTGGGAAGCATTTTGTTGTGAATTTAAAAAGGTAGCAGGTATTCCAAACTTGAGATTAAGTGTTATTATCTGATCCTGAATGAGTGAAAGTAAGGGAGATATAACTACTGTAACTCCTGGTTGAAGGGTTGCTGGAAGCTGTAAGCACAAAATAAAATTAACAGGTTCGAAAGCAAAAAAAAAAACTATAAGATGACAGATAACAATATTCACCAATATGGTCAAGTCTGGGTACAAAGAAAGCTCAGAACCACCAATTTGAATAATGAAAAGGGAAGGTTAAATGATAGTTGCTTCAAAACAACATAATCATCATTGGTATTACATGGTTATAATTTATAAGGATATGTCTTAAAAAGAAACATTCAAACAGGTTTAAGAGAAAGTAATGACCTGATAGCAAAGAGATTTACCACCTCCAGTAGGCATAAGAATAAAAGAATCTTGTTTTGACAAAGTTGCATTACATGCTTGATGCTGCAATGGTCGAAGTATTTTATTACCAAAGATAACTACATTTGCCAATTCAATATCATCTAGCGCCTGCAACTCTTCATAAGTGAGAGTACTAGTTCTATCCTTTGAAGCAAAGGAGGATTGTATTTTTCTGGAAGTTGATGAAACTGAGCCTTGAGTGATGCAACTTGTGCCACCCTATAACATATAATAACTTTTCTTAATATAATCTTACTGTTTCATTTTAGTCATGTAATACAAATATTTGAAATTGAAATTGCAAACAAATCTGATAATGATAGTAAAATGAAATTGAATAACTACCATTGACTTCAGAGGAGGTTGTTGACCCGAAAATACAGAATTACCCTCAGTATCCTCGTCATCACTTGAACCCAATTCAACAAATTTGCTCCGCCCTTTCTGAGGCGAATCGTGGATAACATCAACGAAAGCCTTAGAACCCTCACCGCACGTGGCAAAACGTTCTTCAAGCACGTGATTCAAAGTTCCAACAGCCTGCGATTCCATTTCGCGTAAATCATCCCATTCCTCCGTGTCTTGCACCGATTCCGCCAAAGCAGTAAGAAAATCATCGCCGCAGTGCTCAACGGTGATGAAATCACGACCGTCGTCACCTACAATAAAAACCGACTAATCGTTTAATTAAGTTGAAATGAAAGTGGAAGGGTTAGTGGTGGCGTACCGTAGAGAGAGACGAGGCGGTCGAAACATTGGATAGCGGATTGTTCATCGAAACCGAATTCGAGAGCTAAACTGATTAGGCGAACTTTCTCTAACCCTAAATCATGATCTTGCTGATTCTGATTGTTGTTGTTCTTCCTGCTACTGCTTCCGGTTTCCATTCCCGCGCTACTTTTTTTCTTCTGCTTTCGATTCAATTTTTAGGCTCGCTTCCCCTCGTTTTTCATTGGCCCGTTATGTTAGCGCAACAGTATTGCATATTGCATATTGCATATTGCATATTTTTCTTATATCATTACATTATAAATTTGAATTCTACTGTTTAAGTTTTATTTTTAAAAAGTATCAGCAATAATTCTTAATAATTCTTTTTTTGTTTATATAGATCAATGTTTTAAAAATCAATCCATTCAAACTTTTGATTCAAGGTTTAATTGTTTCTACTGATCAAATATACGATCGAATCGTTTATTAAATAAATTAAAAATATGAAATTAAATTTCATATTTATGTGACACATAATTATATGTACACAATTTAGTAAATTAGATATTTCAAAAATCTATTACAAATTTAATACAACAACATCGATAGTAAATATAACAACACAACATAGTTGTAGTTTATTTCAACTTTCATTTAAGAATAATTAGAATACTAAAAATAAATAATACAATATATTTAATTAAACAAACAAGTTATAATTGACAACAATAAACAATATTGACTTGAACAAGAACTAATATTGAGCTGGACGGCGTGATTGTGTTTGAAGCGAGGTGTTATGATGATGGAACGTGGTTGAAAGAAAAATTATAAGTGATAACATTTAGAAGTTTGTATGGTTGTAAAAAAACACGGAATTCTTTTTTTGTGATTGGGAAATATATGTTAAATTTTGATATTGACATATTAAACGTTAAAAAAATAATAAAAAATGGAAAATTTGATGCATTTTATTGAACCAGACGATTTTACAAAATCAATTCTGGTTCTTTGGTTTGAATGATTTTGAACGGTTTAATCTAGTTTTTCTTATTTTACTTCAATTTTGACCTCCTAACGGTTTTTAAAGGTTGACCCAACCGAATTCATCTTCGATTCTCAGTCCAACCAGTTAAACCAGACGGTTCGGTAAGAATGACAACGGGTCGGATCGGATGCAGGTTTTACACTATCCAAACCCGCATCCAAAATCACCACCTGAACCCAAACCCAAAGACTATTTGGGTAGCAAAATAACACACACCCACATCTGTTGGGTTCAGATTTTTCCACCCAAACTAAAATCGCAGCAGAAACATAAAAAATACAACAACAACATTGAAATTTGAAACACAAGAATTCCATCAAGGTCTCTCAAAGAAATTAAATTACAACTT